AAATGAAGTATGGTAAACTACTGTGGAATGTGAAGCTCATGCTCACCCTAACCCTTCTTTTATACAATTAATTCCTGTAAAAATCTATTTTATAACTGTATTGTACTGTAAAATCTGAAGTTTACAGTAAAATACGGGCAGTAGTGGTTGCCAGTATTTTGCCTTTTTTTTTTTTTTACAGGGTTATGACAGTAAATTGTTTAAGAAGTTAGTTCCTGCAAAATGTATTACTGTGCTCTCCTGTAAAATTTACTCCAGTTGTCAATCACAGCCCAGCCAACGAACAAGGTGAAACAGAACAAAATGTAAGAAATATTTATGAACTTTTCTTGGAATAACGTCTTTGCTTTACAGTATTCACATTACCTCCAAATGAGACAAACATGGAGGAGATGAACACTCATTAAAAACTGTGTGAAAATTGTAACTCTGTGGTAAAAACATCACAATAAAATCATTGTTTAAACAAAAGACCAGACTGACTAAATGTAAGGACGTAAAGCCAGACTGTTTCTTTAACATGAGATCCCAATCAGGCCAATTAGAAGCAGACGTGCACCAACAGGCCTCGTCTATCAGGAGGAGCAGCTGCGTCCGACAGCCGTGAAATCAACTGTCACTGCTTGGAAAGCCACTTCTTACTTTACTTAAATCTTGATCAGTGGATTTAGAGTGACTGTGGCAAAGGTGATACAACTCCTTAAGTGATAAAGGGAAAACAAACATGATTAAATGTAAATCTGTCAAGTTATTAGAAAGTAAAAGCAGGCAAACCACAAGCCCTAATGTTCAAAGAATGCTTTACGGATATTTTTTCAATTTCCAGTAATGCCCCTTGAAAGTGAATCATAAACTGTAATCGTCAGACAGTGTTTGGAGGATGCTGTCAGGGCCACAGATAATGTTCCATTATAACAAAAGAAGAACTTTCTCAAACAAACATTCAGAAAACGTTTTCCAGATGTTATGTGGTATATTATCAAAATCTTTAGCGTTATTCAGCCTTTAACAAGAACATTACTAGAACTTTGCAGAGCTTTTCAGGAAAGTTTTGAGAAAAAAGCAAAATATTTCATGTAGTCATTGTGTCAGATGTGTGCCTTCTGTCTGTGCTGTATAAAGAAGAGGCACAAAAAAACGGAGCAGAAATGCTCTTGATAGCTTAAAAAAAAAAGTGTTTTCAGGTAAGTCAGTTGTAGTAATCAACAGCAACAATCTGTTGCATTTCGCCCCTCGTCACATTTAATTGCTTTATTTGAGTTCTGTTGTCCCCTCAGGGCCACCGCAGGTGACTGATGGGCCCTCTGCTAGTGACGGTCGGGGGTTTTCAGTAAAGTGAAGCAACGGTTTGTGTTTGTGTGGTGGTGTTGCTTCAGGGTATCAACAGAAGATGAGCAGGAAGCCGAATACAGAAGATTATACCTCAGACAGTTAATCAGTGATTTCTAATGCTGTAAGCAGAAAGCTGTAAATTCGAAGCATGCTGTCCATGTTCTCGATCATGTTCTCACAGATACGACATTTTCAGTCACCAGTTTTCATGCACCTGATCAATTTCAGCATTAAAAGTTCTGAATTAAAATGTAAAAAAAAACTTAAGGTCTTGGCTTAAGTGAAAAAGTTGGTGTGTTCATGAAGATGTGTCAACGCAGAGGAAGCAGACCTGGTAAATAAATAATGATGCAGTGTGTGACTTAAACTGAAGAACTCGCATCAGATGTGCATGATGAGAAAACATTAAGTTCAGACTAATTCATGAAGTGAACATAAACGGCATATTTCCATCACTGCACTGAGGTTTGATTGATGCTCTTATTATCATCTCGCTGTGAAAAAGAAGCTCCACCTTCCGTTAATCTTCATGCACATATTCGCACTAATAGATGGAGGTGCGTTTAAACTTGCATCTCCTCTTTCAGGTTTTTTTAACACTTACACTTAAAATTTCCATTACTTTTGTTTGCAAATTTGCATTGCCTTTGGTTGCAAACAACTCTCCAGAGAATTTACACTGAGGAAAACAATCCCTCCAGCAGCACTAGAAGCTAATCCCACTTTGTAGCTCTTCACCACCCGGCATTTTTCTCTCTTTGTTTTTCTGGAGCTCCCTGGAAGAACCCCTGCTGCACTAATACAGTGCCCCCAGTGAAATGAATGAGGATGTTTTGTGCTGCAGAGCTTTTGTTGGTTAAGGGGCCATTAGTTAGTGTAATCATAATGTGATCGGAGGAGAGCTGAGGACTTCCAGCTAGTCGCCACAGAAGCTACAGATTACTGATTTTTGCATTTAATGCAGTTGAATCTCTGAAGAACGTCAGGTCAGGTGACTTTGGAAGAAGCTTTGAGGTGCGTTTGGGCTCATTTTCCTGCTGTAGTATAAATCCTTTAAGTTTTATTTCTTCCTGGTCTGGTCGAGTCGATTCACATCAAGTTTGCCACTCGAGACTTGAACATTCCCAGCAGCATGTTTCACTGTGGGTTTGATCAAATGTGGTCATTC